TAGAACTGAAGAAGCTTCTCGGATGAGAGGTGAAACGTCTTCAAGCAACTTAAAGAAGTCCAGACGCTTTTCTTTGCAAGCTCCTTTGAAGACCTGGAGTTACTTTCATTAGAACTGATTAAAGCAGATTTGGATTTGGCTGAAACAATGCAGTCCTTATAGAACAAAACATGATCATTATACATTTCTTTATGTATAGTAAGTCCGGTTTTCTTGAATCAAGCAAAGGGCATTTATTAATTTGCCTTAATTGTTAGCATGTTTGACTTGCTAACAATGAACTACTAACAATGAGGCAAACATGTCAAACAGGCTCTTTGTTCATTCAGAACCACACCTGACTAGTGTTCTATTCATAAGAGGATCCTATTCACAACAGACAACTTCATAGATTAACTTTAAAGATCATGCATTATGTAACTATCTGTTTCCATTATTCACATCATGTACAGTACCATGGGAAAGTATGTGCCCCTTCATGACTTTTTTTTTTTTTGCATATTCATCACATGTGGTCAAAAGTCTGGACACACCTTCTCATTTAATTCTTTATTTTTACTACTTTCTACATTGTAGATACAAAATGAAGACATCAAATATATGAAGCAAGATATGTGGAATTATGTAGCAAAGAAAAAAATTGATCAGTAACACTATGTATTATATTTTAAGATTGTTAAAGATTGCTTTGTTGACAGTGCTCCAAACTGTTGGCTTTCTCTCCGTGACATCATGATGTAGTCACCTGAAATGGTTATCACAACAGGTGTGCCCTGTCACGGTTCATTTCTGGAATTTCAAGCTTTCTTAATGGGGTTGGGAGCATCAGTTCTATTGTCTAGAAGTCAGGTTGATGCACAGCTGACAGCCCTATTTGACAACTGTTAGAATTCATATTATGGCAAAAACCAATCAGCTAAGTAAAGAGAAACGACAGTCCGTCATTACTGTCAGGTCAGTCTGGAAATGTTCTAAAACTGAATGCGTCCCCAAGTGCAGTCGCAAAAACCATCAAGTGCTACGAGGAAACGGGCTCACACGAGGACCGCCCCAGTAAAGGAAGACCAAGAGTCAGCTCTGCTGCTGAGGATACATTCATCCAAATCACCAGCCTCAAAAAGTTAACACAAGTTAACAGCAGCTCAGGTTAGAGCCCAGAAAAATGCCACACGAGTTCCAGTAGCAGACACATCTCTACATCAACTGTGAGACTGTGAATCAGGCCTTTATGGTCAAATAGCTGCTAAGAAACCACTACTAAGGAAAAGCAACAAGCAGAAGAGATTTGTTTGGGCCAAGAAACACAAGGAGTGGACATTAGACCAGTGGAAATCTGTGCTTTGGTCTGATGAGTCCAAATTTGA